AATTTAAATGGCCATGTTTGAAAAACACTGCTCTAGCAGTATCATGATAGCATACAGACAATAAGAGTCAAGTGTGTTCAGCATTTTCAATCATTCTTAAGGTATGTAAAACCAACGCAAAGCCCAAGTACTTCATTTTTATGTACTTTCTTGCTGTAATCAGGAGGGTGGTAAATTATGAAGTACAGTTTTGTTTCATCTTACAGAATTGACTTCACTCTGCTGCTGAAATTCGGTTCCCACAGAATAGCATTTGCTGACTGCCAGCACTTTTTTTCCCTAGAATCACCTGAATAGCCTCTTCATTATCACCCATGCAAAGATCAAAAGCATTAAATCTGTGCAGGGGGGAATACCAAGCAAAAACCCTTGCCATCAAACAACCTTTCTAGAGGCTTGCCTGAAAAAAAAAGTGCAAGCTTCTCCAATATTACTATAAAGCCTCTTTTGCTGTCCCTTCTTTGCCCAATTCCTTCCAAACATGTGATTAAAAAAGGGAGTGAAAAAAAGTCCCAAGGGCCAGTGATGAAAAACCTCATGCATCAACCCCAACGTCTAATATAAGACAGCCTTTTCAAGAGCATAATACAGAACAAAATATCTTGTAACAACGGGATGGCTGTTATACAACAAACAGGTTAAAATTATCAACTCAGTTGCTACTTGGTTACGACGACTTAGAGTAAAAAACAAAACAAAACAGAAAAATACCAGTTTTGATATTATAGGTATCAAAAACCTTATAAACCATTAAAATGTATTGCTTGTTTTGGTATTTCAAAAACTCCAAAAAAAGATCTATAATCTCAGGAAAATACTAATACATATTCATGCTGTCAACAATAAAAGTGAAACACTAAATTACACTCATTTGCCCATCAATTAAAACCACTTAAAATACTTTATGGTTTGACATACAAACGCAGTGAAAAGTACTTGTATGGCTTAGTTTAATTCTAAAAGTCTAAAACAGATTTTTTGGTTTCACAATATATATGGGCCTATGTTTATATGGATGAAAAAATCCTCTTGTCACAGCAGTAGGTGATACTGACTAACCCTAACCCTATGTAAGCATACATAGAAAGTTTTGTGTTCTCAAAACAACACGGAATCTTGTAGATATGGGCATTTCCTTAATTTAGCTAAAAAAAGGTACCTATCTAAAACACGTTGGGCCTGATAAACAAAATTTTTCCTCACTGGCACTTGGATATCTCTGTCTCTATTTTTGCTCTATGTGTTTTAGTGCATGTCTTCTGAATACACACTCATTTCCACCTTTCCCATCTTATAAAACCCATTCTCTCACTGGAACATTTGGTTTATCCCCAGATCTTCATTCCCAACTCTTATTAAGCTTTAAGCATTTTTTTTCTTCCCACTATTTTTCCTTCCTTACTCCTTCCTATTGCCTGGCAAAAGTAACAGAAAGGAGTGCAGGATAGTTGGTCTGAGTCCCTCTCAGGCAAGTACTGGGTTTCTAAACATATGGCCACAAGCTTTAAGACAGGACATAGAACAAACTTTCCAAAGAAAGCATAAGGACAATGTCACAGAGATACTTCTATATCGCAAGTGGCAGATGTCTGAGCTCTTTGAACCTTCTTACCTGTCTGGACTATGCCTCTTTCCATTTCCATTTACTTCCATTAGCAACTCCGAAGAGTCCGCTGGGGATGCCGAGTTTGTATTGAGCAGAATATGCTCATGTTGGGCCAGGTACTGGGAAGGGGTTTGCTTGGCTGCTCGAGCACAGTGCAGCAATTCCCTCTGGAGAAGTGGAAGGTTAGCCTACAAAACAATGTTACAGTTACCCATTTAGGTTTGGACACTGGAGGAGTTGATGTTGCTCTTTATGTAAAGTAGCAGGCCAAGTGCTTGAAACAGAGGTTCTCACCATACAAATACCTGCAAATGGTATGAACCTTCCTAAGGACTAATATGACAAAATAATGTGGCCTCCGGTTGCACAGATAACACTTGTCATCAACTGAGTGATAGCTAGCAGTCGTCCTGCTCTAGACATCATCATTTTGGAGAAAGAGGCTAAACCGCACATAGCTCTATAGAAAAATAAATAAGATGTTCTGCCCCTCTGAGAGAGGAGACAGATGACAGAACAGGCTCCAATCATATTTTAAATTTGGAATTAACAAACCAGGATTTTTCAAATCAATTGACTTTGGAAACAAAAGTGGAAACTTGATTCATATTGACTTCCTGGTTATATTGATACTGACTTCCAGGTTATATTTTCTAATGAGTTTTTCTGGGGATGTGAGAGTTCTCACTTCGTTCACTATCAGGTTTTTAAAAAAAATTAACCTTCATCCAATCTCTGCAGGTGCTTGTTCTGTAACACTAGTTTTTATGACACATTAGAACAAATGAAGCTTATTATTTATAGCAGTTTAACACATTTAGCTTACAACTTCTAGTGTAATCATCCTCCCAATGATTTTGACTAAGCTAAACAAAATCAGGCTCAGAGCAAAAAGCACTCTTCTATCATTTTAGCAGCAATGGATATCCAGAGGACATATTTTCTTTTGGTTTTTGTTGTATAAAATTGCAGCAAACAGAATAACAATTCTTTTTAATATCTCTGCAATTTCAAATCTTCTCAAGTCAAGCAACAACAAAGCTTAGGGGAACACTAAATTCAACCATAACAACATATATAAGGTATTACAATATAAATTATTGAGCTTATGTTTTGATTTGCTACCAACAAATTAGTTCTCATGAACATTTTTTTTCTCGTTAAAACAAATTTTGTCTTGTTTGTTTTAACGAAAAGACAGACTTGTGTGTGTGTGTATGTGTGTGTGTTATCTATGTACTCAATTCCCATCTTCTGAAGAGGGAAGGGATAAGAGAGGAAATATCCACAAGCACAGTGCAAGATACTAGTGTACATTAACATCCTTTGGAAGATATTGTAAAACCATTATAATGTGGCATGAAGTCTTTTTCTTCTTATTAGCTCAAAGAAATAAAATTATCTTATCAAGAGAGTGCAATTATCACCTTTAAAAATGGAATTACAAATGGACGCAAAGGAAAATTAGTAGCCTCCTGAAGCTTGCAATGAAATTCCTCTATTGTCACTGTTGAATTCTGCAAAAAGAAAGGAAATTAATCAGGATTTTCCTTCCATATAATTGAAATTTTTACTACAAGTAGTCCTCGCTTAACGACAATTGGGACCGGCAACTCTGTCATTAAGCAATGCAGCCATTAAGTGGAACATGTGACCATGATGGATTTATGACCTCACTCCTGCTGTGGTCGTTAAGGAAGACATCACGTGACCGCGACTTGCAATTTTACTGCCAGCTTCTCCATTGACCCTGCTTGTTGGAAGCCGGCAGTGAAGCATGCAAATAGTGATCACATGACCACGGGATGCTGTGATGGTTGTAAATGCCCGCCAGTTGTGAAGCACTCTAATCTTGATCATGTGATAACAGGGATGCTGCAACAGTCATAAATGTTAGGACTGGTCATAAAGTTACTTTTTCAGTGTCATCATAACTTCAAACAATTGCTAAACAGGACAGTTGTTAAGTGTTTTTTATTTATTTTCCTGAACAACCTGAAGCTGGCTTTACATATTTCATGGAAGAACTAATAATCTTTCTCACCCAGGCCACTGTTCAGTAACAAATCATACTTAAACTTGGAATTAACAAACCAGGATTTTTCAAATCAGTTGACTTTGGAAACAGAAGTGGGAACTAAAGATAGAATCATAGAGCTGGGAAGTACTTTATGGGGGGCCTCTAGACCAACTCACTTCTCAATACAGGTAGTCCCCAGTTTAAGAACAAGTTCTGTTCCCCAGGTCTGTCCTTAAGTTGACTTTGTATGTAAGTCAGAACAGTATTATTGTATAATACTGTATAAGTAGTATTGTGTAATGAACTCGAGGCATTGTGTATTTAACTCAAATCACTGTGTATTTAACTCAAATTTTGCTACAATAGGCTCTGTTCTTAACTATGGGTTGCCTGTAACTCAAGTGTTCTTAACCTGGGGACTACCTGTATAGGATACAACCATAGTATTCCCTGACAAATGGATCAGCCTGACCCCTGCCTTTACTACTTCCCACTAATGGAAGCTTGCTATTCTGCAAGCTAGTCTATTCCTTAATAAACAGATTTTACCATTAAAAAAAAGTTCTAATGTTTAACTAAAATCTGCCTCCTTGCCATTTCTAAACCTGTCCTCTGGAGTGTCAGAGAACAAAACAAGTCTGTTCCATTTTTGTCCTTTACATATTTTTAACTGCTACCAAATTTCTCCTTAATTTTCTCTCTTCCAGGTCAAATATACCTAGCTCTTTCTACCACTCTTGTAGGTCTTGTTTTCCAGTTTGCTCTCAATCCTGGTTATCATTTTCTAGACATACTCTAGTTTGTTAATGTCTATCTTTAAACATGACACCCTGAACTATGATTAGTTATAGTGATCTGGATCACTGGGATCCAGATGCAACAGCCTGCCCAACACAGTACAGATCTAGACATTATGATTCTATGAATGCAGGCCATGAGTGCATTAGCACTTTTAAGCAGTCAGATCCCATTGCTGGTGTTATATTGCTGCAAATCCAGATTTTACCATGCTCCAAATGATAATATTGGAAACTGAACATCTCAAAACTCCAATAAAAGAGCAAACTTGGTGATATCAATAAGCAACAGTACTCTCCTACCAACCATAATGCCATAACACAGTGTTTATCAATCTCAGCTACTTTAAGATGTGTGGACTTCAACTTCCAGAATTCCCCAGTTAGCCTACTGGCTGAGGAATTCTGGGACTTAAAATCCACACATCTTAAAGTAGCTGAGGTTAACAAAAACTGTGATAACCAAATGTAAAATTCTCTTCTCCAGTTTTGCCTGACTTTGTTGTTTTAATACTCACCACTAATGCCAGAACGAGAGTCCGGACCTTTTCTCCAATTTCTGGTGAAATGTCATTGCCAAACTGCTGAAGGGTGGTAAGGAAGCGTTTCAGTTTGCTTAGCTGACGAGCCCCACAGGTAGCTGGGAGCTGTTGATTAGTCAGTGAAGATGAAGAAGATGATGCAGGACCATTGCTGAACCTCTGAGGGGGCGAGGGGGCTCCATTCAAAGTAGGAGGAGAATGATTCATTCCATTAGGTACTACAGTGGGGAAATAAAGACACATAATGAAGAGATATGCTTTATTCACCAATAAGCTGCAAAAAGCTTCTGAAATGGAGACAGTACTGTATTGTTAGGAACACAATCTGGGGGGTCAGTTTTAAGATTTTAAAAGAGACCTTTTAAATAGGATACCTTAGCTCAATAATGGTAGGAACATATGCAAGTCCAGGATTTAATTCTAAGATCTCTAATTACGAATTAGCCCAATGGAAAAAAATTTTCCAAGACCCTGGAGAACATCAAGTATTTAGGATTAACAGAGCCAGACTATATGAACCAATGCACATTTACTTTAAATATATAAATTTAATTTAAGGAAGTCAAACACGTAAAGAGTTACTGTACTGCATTCCAGTGTTGGATTTTTACTATTGGACTCTTAATGTCATTGGTAATTATGAGTTCAGCCCTTCAAAAATAACTCTAGTGTCTCACATCTCAGTGTCACCTATTTGATAGAAAAGCACTGATCTTCTCACTGTTCCTTTCTCCAGGCAGTAGGTATGACAAAATCACACAAGACAAAAACTTTCCCTAAACAACTAGTTTGAATGGAAACCCTACCTTAAATTTCACCCCATTATATTATTCAAAGGAATTTATGCAGACAGTAAGAGATCTTTCCAAGATTTTGTGTTTCCTCAGCATGCTAATGTCACTACAATGTCACTTATCCTAAATGATTAAGTGGAACACGGTTGTGAAGAACTCATATACTTCACCATTGATCACTGGGAGAACTTTAAGCTCCTCTTCAACAGTGTCATCATAGGTGTGTCTTGCTGTAGAAAGCTGCATGTACACAATGGAAGACTGGTACTAACAGCTAAGAATACAACATTAACACCACTACTGATCATTCCTTTGAAAAAGTTGAAGAAGAAATTATTCCACTGGAAAAAAATGCTTCTACACAAAAGTAGACTGGTTAAAAATAAAAAGACAACTATATTTCAGAAAGCTCTTTTCAACTTCTGGCCAGCAGCATATGTGGTGGGGGAGGCCAACATCTGCAAGAATGGCAGTCATGTACAAAGAGGCGGGGTATGGATTGCAACACCGCATCCGTCATCATGCAGTTTTTTACATTTGACAGTTGGTGGCATTAAAATGAGAAGGCCTGCACTAAGTTTTTAAAATGTTTAATTTTCCCATAAAAAAACACAAGACATTCAATTCAGGAAAGAAAATGAAATGGCTATCTCAATAATAGGCTCAAATCCAAATGTACGACTTTCTTACATGCTGCTGGGGTAAATGAAACAGGCCGGGGGCCACTGGGGTTGACAGGTGGTAACGGAGGCATACTGGATGGAGAAGATCTTGGCTGTATCTTGACTTCCACGGGGGATCCTGGCATTACTGATATTCTCTTCTCACCAGCAACTAAAATGGAATGTGAAAAAAACCAAGAATACAGTAAAAAAACTCTGCCTGAAATTGATATTCTGGTGAGTCTTGCCAAAAAAATACAAAAGTAGGGCAGAGAGAAAAAAGCAAGTCTGGATAATATTTTATCTTTTACATAGTGCTTCAGAGTGTTCAAAACACTTATATACATTATATCTCAGTAATCCTTACACAACAACTCTTTGAGGAATCTTATCTCCATGCCGGTGTGTCTATATGTAAGAGAGAGAATAAAGAAAGAGAGAGAAAGACGAAGTTCAACTAAGAAATTCAGGTCAAACACAGGATAGAATGGAAGACTGGAAGGGATACTGAAGCTCATTTAGTCCACTCCTCTGATCAGTGCAGGATCCACCAGCCATGAATCTCTCACCTAGTGGAATATATAGACAGACCAACTTGATGAAGATTAAACATCTGATAGAAATGAATGACTGAAATTAGTCTGCAGTTAGACAGCATCCAACAAATCCACCAACTCTAATATATTTATGTCTATGTGCAAGGATCTTAACATAATTATATGCAAGTCTGTTAAAAAAACATGTCCCAATGAGTTCAAAAGACAGTAATCTATTTCCCTCTATTAACCAAATAGAAAACATCATAAATGTTGTTTCAGGGAACAACTGACTTAACAAAGATACTAGCGATCAGCAATATTTCCATGGGTCCAGGCTACCAACAATGTTAACTTGGAACATTCCCAAATCAATATTGTATTAGAGATATTGAGGCAGAGAAAAGGAGGGAGCTACTTGCAGGTGGATATGAAAAGCCATAACATGCTGGCAAAGGAGCATTTATCTATAAAATTTCCTTTAGGAAACACAGAAGAGAATACTGGTTTTATACTTACAAAAAAATAAAGGAATCTAGAATTACATTTGAAGCTGTCAAGAGTCCAACTGAAACATTTTACTAAAATGACAAAAGGACTTAACATCTATTGCTATCTTCAGCATGCCAAATCCATTGTGCTAACCAACCTGTTGCAAGATAATTTCTTATAATGTTGCCTATCAAAATGTATGCTCCTTATCTGCTTGAACAACACACCCACCACTTATTTGTTCAATAAATAGATGGTTGTCTGTCTCATTTAATTACTTCCCAAGCAATCTGGGACTCTGCTGCAGCATTTCCTTCATAAATATATTGACAGGTTTCCAACATATCCATCTGTGTTCAATCTTCTCTGCCCCCTGCCTGTTCTCCCATTGTTAAGTGGGGAACTAGGGATGGACAGAACTGACGGTTGTCTTTCACTTCTGCATGTTGTGCATAGAGTGTGAAACCCCAGAGGGAGCCCTCACTTCAAACCACCTGCTTTTTCAGCAATGGGTGTGAAAAGGCCCAGAGGAAATCTTAGCAGTTAGTCAAATTGCAACCAACCTTCAACACTTGGCACAATGTTGGAATTCAGCAACGCTCACTAGCAGGCAGGCTGAAATGCCCACTCAGAAGTTTAGACATAAAGTTCTAGATTCTATTTCTTGTCAATAGTAACTGTCACCCAAGCTTCAACAGAAAATGAAATAGTTTTCTACACAACAATCTGCAGAGAAACTAAGAATAAGAGACTATCAAAAGAAACTGGACACAAAGAGAGAGGTTTACTTACATTTTAGTATGAGTGGAAATTGCAGTAGTTACTGGTATACAAATAAGTTATTTACTTTTTCTATACAGAAAAATACATTTCTTCCTAGAACACTTCCTAGAATTTGCTACTAATTTTAGTTTAATTAGAATAAGATAATAAGATACACTGTAGGCCATAACTCTTCTGCAGTAAAACTTACTTTATGGTGTATGACTCAATCTTTTGCATGTATGTTTGCCATGTCCTATTGCATTCAATACAGCTTTCTTGCACATGGATAGAATTGTAGGCTTGTTTTATTAATTTAAATATGATCCATGAGTATTAGAAAGAATTTCATTTCCCGTCTACTCATGATCTTGGGAAGTTTCTCCCAAGCCATACATACACACACTATTTATGCTGAAAAAAATCCTAGCCTGATGCAAATTATAGTAAGGTAAAGAAATGTTTGCATGTAGTAGGCAACATCTTAGTTTTTACAGCTTTCTGCAGCACTACCAATTGATCCAATGTTTGTGCAGGATTGTTGACTGACTGGATTTGTTTTAAAAACAATATCCCAGCCTGTTTGAGCTCTTTAATACAGTATTACAAAATCACAACAAAAAGAATTAATCATTAGATTCACACAAAAGTCCAGAACAGATTATTCAGTGAGAGAGTTTAAATCACTGCTGTATTCATTTCCGAAGTTTTTACTTAACAAATCAACAGGCTCTTGTTCCATTTTTGCCTAGCACTAGGGTTAAAATCTCATGTCTGAAAAGTTTTTACCTGCCACGGAGGTAATTGATTAGTGCAATATCCTTGCTATGCAATTACACCATAGATACAAAACATCTGTGGAGGTAAATGTTAACCATCAATCAGTAACCACAATGTTTTATGGCTTTACTAGAAGCTCCCGTACAACTGGTCCAGTCAGGAAAAAGGTTGATATGGACATGTTCTTGCCCTTGTGTTATTAATTTAGGTTTAATGGACAATGTTATCTAGAACATGAAGTCATCCCAGAATCATGAACTAACATAATATTAAGAATGGGCAATGCAGGAAAAGCACTGCTTTCTACTAAGGTTAAAGACGGCATTTCCAGCAACCTGAGATATTTTGGTTGCTATATCAGGAAAATTTCTCCAGAGGAAGTAAGAACTGGTGAGCCAGGAAAACAGAAGACCCAAAGTCAAATGAAATGGAATCTCAGGATTTCAATGAATGACCAAAAAGCAAATAAAAAAAGTGCTGTATTACAACTTCTGTTGGCAGTCTGTTCATTCGGGTTTGGGGAAGCAGGAAGACCTGCCAATGTGTGAAAATAGGTGAGAAGCTTAACTAGCACAAGCACTCTTCTCTACACAGGGCTGACTTTACTGTCCTTCACCTAAAAACCCTGTGGAAATTCAAAACACCTGTTTAAGTCACACATTCTGCCAGAGTTGGCAGACCCTATTTCTGGGTAGAAAAAAAACCAAACCAAAACAGACAGCAAGGCAATGAAAAAAATGGTTTGGGTTCTCTCCAATAATAATATTCATGACAGCAGTTCCTCATTAAAAGTTTTGAAATATAGCAGACAAAAGATATGAAGCAACCTGTTATTTACAAAACTGCAATGGAAAGGGCCTATTTTACAACACACTAGGAAGATGCTCAACCCGTTGACTGTGGGCCACATGCAATCCCCCATCATTTTATTACAGCTCTTGAAGCAGTATCAGGGTGCTGAAATTCTGCAAAATAACTGCTGAATTTTGACAGTGGGATGTTCAAGTTTAAAAAGAGGTTAAAATAAGAGTGGGAATAGGAATAGGAATAGAAAAATGTTTCTATTTCCATTTGTAAAATCCTCTAAATCATGAACAAATGGGCGAATATTTTAAACCCCACACTTCCCAGTGATGCCACTTGACAACCTCCTACAGCCCACCAACTGTAGTTGCGGCCTCCAACCCAGAAAAGTCTGTCTTCCCCTGTACACTGTGTGCACAATTATTAGGTAAGTGAGTATTTTGACCACATCATCATTTTTATGCATATTTTCCACCTCCAAGCTGTATA